GGAAAGCATGTGCAAGCTGGAATTGCATGTGTGTGCATGTGTATGTGCTGGAATGGTGTGGTAGCCACGGCAATGAGTGTTTTTGGTGCTGAAAATGGATGTGGCTTCAATCTGAAAATGGGAGAGCATGTGCATGGCAGGGATTTGAATGATTATGGAGGGATGTGGGGTGTAATGCATGTGACTTGTTTGTGGAATGTAGGATGGGATACACGGCACAAGGGTGATTGTTTTGGTGAATGGCTGAAATATGCATGTGATGAAGAGTGAATAAAGAAATACATGTAGGGTTAGCTAGGTTGGCTTTGTTTGGGTGCATGTGTTGGCTCAATTAGCATGTGGATTAGGTGGGTTATGATGATGAATGCATGTGAAATGTAAAGGGAAAAGCTGGAAATGGCTAGGAAGGTCACGGCATGGGTGTTTTGGTTCATTGTGGCTGATTTGTTTGTTGATTAAAGATGCATGTGGATGAATTATACAATGGGAAAGTATGTGATTGACAACTAGGATGAATGGTGGCTGCAATGATGAAGTGTGATGGCTGAAAATGGCAAGGGAAATGCATGTGTTTGCACGGCAAGGAAGGTGTTTTGTGCATGTGGCTGCAATGGTGTGCAATGATGGAGGAATAAATGCATGTGGTTAAATTGGTGGTGAATGTGCATGACAAAGAATGGATTTGGCTGCAATGGTGTGTAATTGGGCTAGGGTTTAAGTGCATGAAATGGACCCAAATTGCTCCCCCTTGCATGGCAAGGAATGGTGTTTGTGTTAAGCCCATGGCAATGTGAATGTAATTGGGTTAGGGCCATTGTTTTGTGTCCTCAAGTGTATACAAGGCCTTCAATTTCATCCAACACTTGGGCTCCAAGCATAAGCTATCCATCCTTAGCCCAATAGTGCTCCAAAAGGCCCCAAAACACTCCACAATGCATCCTTTCGTCAAACACGTCTTATAATCCTGAAAACACACAAAAGAAGCATAAAGAACTAAAATAACTAAAGAAACATAACGTAAATGTACGAGAACAAGCTAAGTAAGTCGCCTAAATATGCTCCTATCAGTGCAGAAGCAATATTAATATAAGAAATGCAAATAAATAAAAACTAAGCTAACTAGAGCACTAAAAGATAAGGGGCAAGATGAAATAAGTATGAATTCACAATTAGAGCATAAGTAAGCTAAGTGCAATCCAGCAAGACGAAAACTAATTATACAACACCCAAGGGTGACCACACAATGGTGATAATCTGTCAGAGCTGCCATGGATTCCTCGCAAGCCACCAGAAAGCACTCCTGACTAGAACCTAGAGGGACGCAAAACAGAAAGTGTGAGTGGGCAAAAACAAAGCTTTTCAAAATCATTTCATTTCTCAAAAGTTCTAACCCCTCACCGTAAAACCTGTATAATTTCCCAGAAAATAGAATAATATATATACCACAACCATGCTCAGAATAGCCAAAATTCACAAATATGCCATGTCGAATATCTCAGCATAAAAATATATAAGCGAGGTGATATAAATCAATGCAAATGGTAAATCAGCCGGAGTCACCTAACGTGACTTGTACGGCTGAATCTAGAGCTCATCCATCTAGTCGGAGTCACCTAACGTAACATGTATGGCTCAAATCCACATCTCAACAACTATACTTGCACACGAGTTGGAACCATGATAGGATTAAAAGCACACCACAAAGTAGCACACCACAAAGTAGCACACAAATGTCCTATTGCTTTTCCTTATTAACACTAAAATTTGTCAATTGTAGCATATGAAAATAAGGGTCTTTCCCGCAAAAGATTGTTTTATCTAACTACTTAAAATGTCACAAAAACTAGGCTGCTGTCCCTACTGGCCAGCCACCGAAAAATAATTATTAGACCAACTTACACTTATCTAAAGTCTACGAAATTTTATATGCAAACACTAGACACACAGAGCTACACTCACACAAATTTTTGGGATATTTGGAGTTGATTTGCTATTTAAATTAAATCGAACAAAAACAGAACAGAAACAGATTTTTAAGTAGTTCACAAATTAAGAAAAACGAGTTAGGGGAATTGCTATCCACCACCAAATAATCATGCAAACATGTTATGTTTCATTCAAATTCCTTTCATTTTCGGATGAAGATGCTCAAGTTGGCTCAATGTTAGAACTCAACCTATTACTCTTTCTTATGTAGTATGATAAGAGAATGGTGTTTTCAATTTAACTTAGTCCCTTACATGCAATCTAGAATGGCGTGTTCATAGATTTAACAAGTAGAAATCATTAAGAACGAAAAGAGTTTGAGTCATCACAAGGCATCGTAAGTACTAGTGTTGTCTTACTTATCCTAGAAATTGGTTCACGTGTTAATCGCAATTAACAAGTACTACTCTAGAACATATGTAGGTCCTCATTCGACAAGGGCAGGCACACACATATTCATAGCATTAGAATCCTAGATATGCTTACTAAGTATGCATCCGTAGAAAACACATAAAGAATTCATCAATGAGACAAGTAGTGAACCAATTTTCATCCATTCATAAAAGTAATTCAAACGAAATGTCATAACAAAAATGCAATCATATTCGGGGCTTCAAAACAGCCCCTAACTACTAAAAATTTAGTTACACAATCCTTATGTTAAAACAAAAGATAGACATGAGTTTGAGAAAATAGAACTGAAAGAAATCAACTAAGGCTCTCCTCTGTCCTTCCTTCCCCAATGCTATTTTTAAACCAATTCTTGCTGCATCATTTTCTTCTCCTTAACTCACCCACCACTAGCCATTTAGTGATGACAATAAGTGAGAGGAAATGGTAAAACAATTGTAACTCCTTGGGTAGCCTTTATGCCAATTACTCCTTCTTAATCCTCATCTTTAATTCCATTTCCTGTCAGCTGGTTTGTTCTTGATTGCATCAGTTTTGGCTGCTAGATTTATTGGATTTATTGCTTTCAATGCATTCTTGTCAGTTACAAACTGCTCAGCCTCTTGGGAACCTTTCAGTGTTAAAACGCCCATCACTTCTTCTAGAAAAATGATATTAATAATCCGCAAAATGCTTCAGAAAATAGACATCCGTAGCTTTCCAAGCATAAAAGGCTCATTCTCTAATTCATTCTAAGCTGTCCGCAACTTGCTTCCAAAGTCAGCTGACGTGCACAGGCAGTTTTGACGAATTTGTTACTTAAAATTTCACTTGTGCTATTTTTCTTTTCTTTACTTGACAAATCCTACAAAACACAAAAACAAAGTAAATAGCTCAAAAATATAAGGAACTAACTAAGAAAAGACAAGTGAATTTGATGTAAAACATATATAGATATGAGCTTATCAAATCACCTAAAGTGGTTTGTACGACAGGACTGGGTGTAAATAAATATGCTTAAGTGCTACGATCACGTGAAGACTGTGTGAATAATCGCGGGTCACCTACGAGTCGGAACCACCTAAAGTGGTATGTACGACAGGACTGTGCACATAACTTGGATTCAAGGTGAGCATGTGGTGTGGGAGGTGAGCATGTGGTGTGGGAGGTGAACATCACGTGAAGGACCGTGCCCTAACTCTGGGCAGGTGCACTAACACCGAGGTGCAGGTTTATAAGCTCTTAACACATCTCACATAATCATCTATTCACATAAACAGTTTACAACTCACTTGGTACTTACCTGAGCATTCACCGCATCAAATCACAAAATGCACATATCATACAAATTTATAGTCTAAGCATAAATCAATAGGCATGGCATTTCAACATAATTTCATTCAAATCGATTTTCTAGAAAAAATCTCAAGTATATAGGTATATACGGAAAACTAAAAGCCCACTCACTGGTATATGAAAAGGTCGTAGCCCCCAAGCCACGATTGACTGCGCTCGTCCTGAGGATAGGTCTCACCTATATGCGAAACAACTATATAAACATTAATTTAAAGCACATTAACGAAACTAGCTAATAAATTCTCATACATTGCTCAAATGGTGTGTTTGAATATACCAATGTGATCTACTCAACACCATAAACATCCCCATATTTTTAGAAAAATTTTCTGACCACCCACGCTCCGGCCAACGCACAACCAAACGCACCCCTACGTGCGCCCAACCCTAACGGAACAGTTAACGGCAATTAGGAATATTCCTTTAAAACCTTAACAGAAGTTAACGACATTACCTGACACCATTAGAATATTCTGTCAACTCTGACAGAATATTCGTCTCTCTCTCTGACGAGCCTTGCCGTCCGCCGCCGTCTGCAACTTGAATTTTTGCTGGTTTCTGGAAAAACTTTAAAACTTCATATCTTTTCCATTTCTCAACCAAATTCCATGAAATTTGTACCAAAATGAAGCTTACAATGAGTAGAATGAAACCTTACCACTTTTAGGACTTAAATCCAATGAAATCTTGCCGGAAAAACCCCGAGCTTCGTGAAGATGTTCTAAAGCTCCTTAGAAGCTTAAAAACTTATAAAAACTTCACGATCACGATTGCATGAACAGTGCACCAAATCGGGAATTCTTGGTTCTAAAGGTTTCTGAGGTTTTCACGTCCAACCATCACCAATCAACTCCTAAGCTTGCAAGGAGTCCAAAAACACCATGCCTGATCTCAATCCGTGATGTTTGAAAGGTTTTTGAGGGTTTTCCATACAGGGTGTACGGAAATGGCAAGAAAATTCGAGAGAGAGGAGAGAGAGAGGGTTAACGAGAAAGGGTTTGGGTGTGTATGCGTGTGTGTGGTCCAGATGGCAGCCAACCAAAACAAAAGAAAATAAAACCTAAGTCTAAGTTCCTAATTGGTTCCAAAATATTAGGGACTTAACATAAATGGTCCACATCCAAAGTAAAACCACACAACACTACACAACGTTCAAGGGTAAAATAGACATTTCACGCCATCGATACAAATAATTCGGGATGGGCTATCACAACCTACCCCCTTTAAGAAAATTTTGTCCTTGAAATTCACACAGTAAATACAAACCACTAGTAATCATAAAACAAGCGTGGATACAACTCTTTCATATGCTCCTGTATCTCCCAAGTAGCCTCTTCCACCGAGTGATTCCTCCACAAAACTTTCACTAAACGCACTGTCTTATTCCTCAGAACTTTATCTTTCCAATCTAGGATAGTCACTGGTTCCTTATCATAAGTCAAATCTGGATTAATTACCGAAGGTTGAGGAGGAATAACATGCAATGGATCCGAAACATAATGACGAAGCATGGAAACATGGAACACATCATGCACTTTAGACAACTCTGGAGGAAACTCAAGCTTGTAAGCAACTTCACCGACTCTCGGTGATCATATATGGTCCGATGTACCTAGTACTTAGCTTACCTTTTTTTCCAAACCGTACCACACCTCTCCACAGTGAAAGCTTTAAAAATACCCAATCACCCACTTTATACACTCTGTCAGTGGCATGTTTATCTGCTAAGCTCTTCTGTCGATCCTGGGCCGCTTTCAGGTTAGACTTAATCACCTGAATATTCTGAGTAGTCTCTTCCACTATCTCAGGGCCCTCCAAAACCCTTTCACCAACCTTTGACCAACATAAAGGTGTATGACAAGATCTGCCATAAAGTACCTCAAATGGTGCCATACCAACACTTGAATGAAAACTATTGTTATAGGCAAATTTCATCAAATCTAACCACTTGTGCCAAGCATCACCAATACTAACAGGAATTCCATCAAATCTAACCGCTTATGCCAAGCTCGATCCCAAAGCCTCCTGAAATGCCACCCAGAACTTAGAAGTAAACCTGGGATCACGATCCGAGACAATACTAATAAGAACTCCATGGTACTTCACAATCTTTCATATGAATAATTCAGCTAATCGGCTTAAAGAATACTTCTCCCTCACTGGAATAAAATTTGCTGACTTAGTAAGCTGATCAACTATCACACAAATGCCGTCATAACCATTATGTGTACGAAGAAGCTTGTACACAAAATCAATAATAATGTTTTCCCATTTCCACTGTGGAATGGGAAGCGGCTGCATCAACCCAAAATGCTTCTTCCTTTCAGCTGTAACCTACTGACAAATGGCACACCTACTCACATACTTAGCAATTTCTCTTTTCATGCCCTGCCAATAATAAAATGGTCAAATGGTATGATACATTTTAGTACCTCCAGGATGCATTGCATAAGCCAAACAGTGCACTTCATCCAAAATTTCTTTCTTTAATTCCACATTATTCGGCACATACACTTTGCTCTTTTGCATAAGCATGCCATCAGTTTCTCGAACTCTGAGATCCTTCTTTTTCCCCTGACTTCTTGCTTCAATTAACTCATGGATTTCTTCATCATCCATCTGGGCTTTAAGTACACGATCAATTAAAATTGGCCTAACTTGAAAATTAGCAAGTAAGGCTTCCTCCGGATCTTTTACCTTTAACTTCACTCCAGTTGATCTCAAGTCTGCTAGAAAAGGAACATGACAAGCATACAAAGTGTTAATACGACCTTGAGATTTTCTGCTAAGTGCATTAGCTACCACATTTGCACGACCAGGGTGATAGTCAATCATGCAATCATAATCACTAAGCAGTTCCAACCATCTCCGCTGTGGAAGATGAAGATCCCTCTGAGTGAAGAGATATTAAAGACTCTTATGATCCGTAAAAATCTTACATTTTTCTCCGTAAAGATAATGTCTCCAAATCTTCAGGGAAAACATGATGGCTGCTAACTCCAAATCATGTGTAGGGTAATTCCTCTATTGAGGCTTTAATTGTCGTGAAGCATAAGCAATCAACCTACCATGTTGCATTAGCACACATCCCAAACCATTCAAGGAAGCATCATTGTAGACCTCAAAATTACCATTATCATCTGGGAGTGCTAAAACAAGTGCATGAGTGAGATAATACTTCAACTGCTGGAAACTCTGCTCACAATTATCATCCCACTCAAATTTAACCTCTTTTCTAGTCAACCCCGTTAGTGGCCAAGAAAACTCCGTACCTCAGTGACGATTGGAGGTTGCTCCTAATTCTCCACCGTTGTTACCTTTTAAGGATCCACCTGAATACCTTGAGCAAATATGACGTGTCCCAAAAATGCCACTTGATCCAACCAAAATTGGCATTTGCTAAACTTAGCATACAATTGGTGTTCCCTCAATCTCTTCAACACCAAAGTGAGATGTCGAACATGCTCTGATTTAGACTTAGAGTATACCAGAATATCATCAATAAAGACAATGACAAATCTGTCTAAATATGGCTGGAATACTCAATTCATCAAATCCATAAAAGCTGCTAGTGCATTTGTTAATCCAAATGGCATCACCAAAAACTCATAATGACCATAACGAATCCTGAAAGTTGTCTTAGGGACATCCTCATTGTTGATCTTCAACTGGTAATAACCAGACCTCAAATCAATCTTAGAAAACACACAGGCACCTCGAAGCTGATCAAACAAATCATCTATACGTGGCAATGGATAACGGTTTTTATTGTTACCCAATTCAATTGCCTATAATCAATGCATAGCCTCAAAGTCCCGTCTTTCTTCCTCACAAATAACACTAGAGCTTCGTAGGGTGAAGTACTAGGCCGAATAAAACCTTTATCAAATAATTCCTGCAACTGAATTTACAATTCCCTCAATTCAACATGAGCCATTCTATAAGGAGTCAAAGATATAGGATCCGTACCCGGAAGCAAATCAATAATGAACTCCACATCACGGTGTGTCGGCAATCTAGGTAAATCATCAGGGAATACATTAGGAAAATGCTTGACTACTTTCACATCCTCCACACTACTAGGAGCAACATCATTCAACAGCACATGAGCTAAATATCCCTGGCAACCTTTCGATAATAACCTTTTTGCTCTCATAGCGGAAATAACGTCATGCCTCACCCTACTGTACTGACCCACAAAAGTAACCTCAGGTAGTCCAGGATGATGGAAAGTAATTATTTTCCTGTAGCAATCTATATTGGCACGATTATAATGCAACCAATCTATGCCCAAAATCACATCAAAATCAACAATATCTAACGGGATAAGGTTAGCTGGCATAACTACATCCTCCATCATCACTGGACATCCTGGATATACAAAATCAACATAATATCTCTCTCCTCTAGGCATAGCAAACTCTAAATCATACCCTAGAGGTGGAGGATGAGGTTGCGTCACTTGAGCAAATGTATGAGAAATGACAGAATGTGTAACACCACAATCAATTAACACTCTAGCAAAGTGACCAAGAATATTTACGTACCCATGATCAAGTCAGGATTATTCTGAGTATCTTGCAGCATGATATTGTGGATACGCCCCTGGGTCTGCTGTCGTCCACCACAACCTCTGCTAGTCTGACCACCTCAACCCTGCATATTATGCCCCTGACTTGGTTGACGAGACTGCCTCGAAGATCCTGCACTACTGGAAGCAATCTCTCATTGTTAGGGCTGTCCTCCCTGATACCACTGAGATCCACCATCTGGAATGAGAGGATATGGCTTATAACCTCCAGAATACTGAGGATATCCATTCTGATAATAAAGATCCTGGGAATACTGATACTGCCCTGAAACATAAAGAACGGCGTCACCCTGATAATGGTAAACACCACCACGACCCATCTGACCATAACTACCAAACCCTGGAACTTGCTGGATCAGCGCTAGTGGTGGAAAAGAAGGCTGCTGGGGCCTCTGCTGATTCTGAGGACAACTTATAGCTCTATGTCCCATATGCCCACATGTAAAACATCCACTGCTGCCCTGCCTGCACTCTCCAAAATGCCTATTGTTACATCTGCGGCACAACAGAGCCCTTCCTCTACTAGCATCCCTCTGTCTCTAGAATCTAGGACCCTTAGAAAATCTACCACCTCTTCCCTGACTAGTGGCACTAAAACCCCCGCTGGAAGAACTGGAACTAGCTCCACTTCGCTTAAAGCTCTGAGTCTTATGAGGTCCTAGAAATGCTTGACCTTTACCCTTATCATCTTTCTTCTGACTGCCGTCATTTTCTTCTTCCTCACTCTCACTAGACATATTTTCTGAATCCTCAATCCTCAACAAAATCTCATAAAACTCCTGGTAAGAAGCACAAGGGGTAGTGGTTGCCATAAAACGCCACTTCTTTTTAGTACCCACTCTGAAATGACGAATTATCTCAACCAGGTTAGCAGCAGCATCCGGATGATAACGAGACAAGTCAGTGAATCTCCCATAATACTCATTCACCGTCATCTTTCCCTATCTCAATTGAGTAAATTCTTACTTCTTGTGATCAATATACTCAGGGGGAGTAAACCTTTTCTGAAACAACCATTTAAACACTTCCCAGTCAGCAATTTCCTCTGGGGTCAATTGATAAATCTCTTGTTCCCACCAGGATGCTCGTTCTTGACCTAAGAACCATGTAGTCGTCTGGACCCACCTTTCAGAATGAAGATTCCTTTGGCTTTGCATCACTCGGCAAGTCTTTTCAAGATGCTCGAGCCACCGCTCTGCCCCTTCATGTCCTTCATGGCCCTCAAACTTATCTAACTTTAAGTTATACATAGTCTCCAGGGGAGTCCTTTGAGGAGGGCAAAGCGAGGACTAAATAACATGAGCTATAGCTTCCCCTAACTGAACAATATCAGGGAAACTACGCTCAGCTAAACGACGTGGCGTGACATAGTTCTGACAGAAGGCACCAAAATAATTAGAATATTCACCAAATATGCAGGACTGCCAAACCTAGGCTCTAATACCAAACGACACACCCTGACCAAAATCAAGGTGTGCTGGTCGTCACGTGAGGGTGACTTAGCTATGTGCACAATGCGGATGCAATAATAATATAAGAAATGCGAATAAATAAAAACCAAACTAACTAGAGCACTAAAAGAGAAGGGGCAAGATGAAATAAGTATGAATTCACAATCAGAACATAAGTAGCCTAAGTGTAGTCCAGCAGGACGAAAACTAATTATACAACACCTAAGGGTGACTATATAATGGTGATAATCTGTCAGAGCTGCCGTGGATTCCTCGCAAGCCACCAAAAAGCACTCCTAACTAGAACCTAGAGGGACGCAAAATAGAAAGTGGGAGTGGGCAAAAACAAAGCATTTCAAAATCATTTCATTTCCCAAAAGTTCTAACCCCTTGCCGTAAAACCTGTATAATTTCCCAGAAAATAGAATACATATATATATACCACAACTATGCTCAGAATAGCCAAAATTCACAAATATGCCATGTTGAATGTCTCAGCATAAAAATATATAAGCCAGGTGATATAAATCAATGCAAATGATATGTCAGTCGGAGTCACTTAACGTGACCTGTACAGCTCAAATCCACATCTCAACAACTATACTTGCACACGAGTCGGAACCACCTAAAGTGGTTTATACGACATGACTGAGTGTAAATAAATACGCTCAAGTGCTACGATCATTGAAGACTGTGTGAATGATCGCAGGTCAACTACGAGTCAGAACCACCTACAGTGGTCTGTACAATAGGACTGTGCACGTAACTTGGATCCAAGGTGAGCGTATGGTGCAGGAGGTGAACATCACCTGAAGGACTGTGCCCTAACTCTGGGCGGGAGCATTAACACTGGGGTACAGGTTTATGAGCTCTCAACACATCTCACATAATCATCAATTCACATAAACAGTCTACAACTTACCTAGTACTTACCTGAGCATCCACCCCGTCAAATCACAATATGAACATATCATACAAATTTATAGTCTAAGCATAAATCAATAGACATGGCATTTCAATATAATTTCATTCAAATCGATTTTCTGGGAAAAATCTCAAGTATATAGTTATATACGGAAAACCAAAAGCCCACTCACTAGTATGTGGAAGAGTTATAGCCCCCAAGCCTCGATTGATTGCGCTCGTCCTCAAGATGGGTCTCACCTATATGCGAAACAACTATATAAACGTTAATATAAAGCACATAAACGAAACTAGCTAAAAACTTCTCATACATTACTCAAATGAGGTGTTTAAATATACCAACGTGATCTACTCAACACCACAAACATCCCCATATTTTTAGAAAACTTTTCTGACCACCCACGTGCCGGCCAAGGCACGGCCAGACGCGCCCCCACGCGCGGCCAACCATAATGGAACAGTAAACGGCAGTTAGGAATATTCCGTTAAAACCTTAACAGAAGTTAACAGCGTTACCTGACGCCATTAGAATATTCCGTCAAGTCTGACGGAATATTTGTCTCCTTCTTCGGTGAGCCTCGTCAGTCGCCCCCATCTGCCGCCGTCAACACCACCGTCTACAACTTGAATTTTCGCCGGTTTCTGGAAAAACTTTAAAACTTCATATCTTTTCCATTTCTCAACCAAATTCCATGAAATTTGTACCAAAATGAAGCTTACAATGAGTAGAATGAAACCTTACCACTTTTAGAACTTGAATCCAATGGAATCTTGCCTAAAAAAAACCCACAAAAATCCAGCCAAACTTGAAACTCGCCAAACTCAACTTCCCAACGTCCAAAACACTTTGTTTTTCTTCTTGAAGCTTCGTGAAGATGTTCTAAAGCTTCCTAGAAGCTTAAAAACTTCTAAAATCTTCACGATCACGATTGCATGAACACTGCACCAAATCAGGAATTCTTGGTTCCAAAGGTTTTCGAGGTTTTCATGTCCAACCACCACCACTAATCAACTCCAAAAATACCATTCACGACCTCAATCTGTGATGTTTGAAAGGTTTTTGAGGGTTGTCCATAGAGGTTGTACGAAAATGGCAAGAATATCCGAGGGAGAGAAGAGAGAGGGTCAACGGGAAAGGGTTTGGGTGTGTGTGGTCCAGATGGCAGCGAACCAAAACAAAAGAAAATAAAACCTAAGTCTAAGTTCCTAATTGGTTCCAAAATATTAGGGACTTAACATAAATGGTCCACATCCAAAGTAAAACCACATGACACTACACAACATCCAAGGGTAAAATAGACATTTCACGCAATCGATACAAATAATTCGGGATAGGCTATCAAAGTTATAAACATTGTATTTAGGTGTGATTGTGTAAATCTTAGATTAGATTTGATTCTAGTTATTCTTCCTTGTTAGGACTTGTATTCCTTGGAGGAGAAGGATTCTTACCTCCTTTATTACTATAAATAAAGGCATTGTGTAGGGAGAATAACACATCCTCTACACAACCCTACGTACGCATCTCTCTCCACTCTCTCTTTGCCATGCCCTTTCTCTCCCTTGTCAAATTAAAATAAGCCACAGTACGTTATCAGCACGCTCCTACCGCTGTGTTTAGGAATCTAACGTGGAAGTTTTCTGCATCAAACCAGTTCATCAATATAATCAGACAACCAGGTTCTTTCAAAACAACTGTTTTTATCTGATATTTTTGCAACCCTAATAGCATGAACATTAACCATAATGCATGACCCAACTTTACATTTTTTGAATTTTAGATTCTACAAAAATTGTGTATGTATTATATCCTTAATTGTTGAATTATGCGAATTGATATTACCATGAATTGCATCGAATATATGTCCATGCATTAAATTATTTATTAAATATGCATTGAATTAATCTAAAATTGAGAGAAATTAAAACATAATTTTTCTAGGGTGTTTCGAACCCATGACCCGAGCCAACTCACGGAGCCTGAAGCTCCAATCCGTGAACGAACCAAAACGATGCCGTCTCTGGCGACCTCCCAAAATATAGAAAACCCCTACCTGCAGTTATGAGTCGCAGCTTTGCCGTCCTCTTTTCTAGAAACCACGACCTAAAGTCATGTTACTCTTATCGTCTTCGACGATGATTGAACGAAAATCCAGAAGAATTCTTGAGAATTCTTTCAAATTTTTATTCTAAATACCTCGAGCGAGAAACCTTTTCTCTGTCCCTTGGATTTTTTCCCCATCGAACTCACAGACCTGTACCAAGGTTTTCCAACCCAGAATTCAATCGCTTGCAACAGTGACACCAATCTCCTTTTCCGGTGATACAACCCAGCGTATTCTGGGGTGTTCTGAACACGAAAACCCAAAGCCCAATTAGGCTGGCCTTCTCAACCTGCAGAAAAGAAAAGAAAAACTTTTTTTCTTGACTTGGCACGCATGATGCGGCCCAACTCCATGGCTCCGCTCAAGCGTGACACTAGCACATAGGGTTATGGTGTCCCTATGCTATCGACATACAGGATCCCAACCCTTGTTGGTACATCTGTGTCCTACCCGCACATGATCTAACTCGTAGCTAGAATATAGGTGCACAGTGTAACACCAGATCAGAGTCCATATGGGCTTCCTTTTTGGGTTTGCTTATGTAGCCCATTCCCTGTCCCTGGGCCTGTAGCCCCCAAGCCTGCTAGCCAAGTCTATCCCAGCCCATTTTGGGCTTAGCCTTGCGGCTAATATTTTCTCAGCCCACCCGTGGGCCTTGTCCCATTATTTTGGGCCCCGGTTTAATTGCCAATTTTTTT